GACATTGAATAAGTAGAGTTTAGATTTTATGTTGTAGGCAAGAGTAAACATCTGAGGGACTTTTAAGGTAGATATAGCTGTAAACAGAAGGGTTGTATATTAGGAAACTGACGTACAGCAATGTGAAAATTGAGAAAGCAGAGGGTTGAAGGTGGAAAACAGGAAAGTCCAAATAAGAGTTTATTGCAATAGTTCGTTTAGAGATGATAAGAATCAAAGTGTTCATTATTTGCATTGTGATAGGTATTTTCAGTAATGAAGAGATGGTTTTAAAGTACACAGGAAGCTGTTCACAGGTGAGATGTAAACACTACTCATTTTTTACCTGTGGATTTTGGTATCCATGGAGGTTCTTGGAACCAACCCCCCATAGATCCCAAAAGATGCCTGTAATCACCAACTTTTTGGACTTGGACATCCTAGCAATAGTAGCTGTTCCCTGTATACAATTTCTATTACCTACCTGTGCTCTATTTGTTGTTGAGGTTCCCTGACAGTTTATCATATTCCCTAATTCACTTTACCTATATGAACAGAGGAAGCCATCTGGGCTCTCGATGTGGTTCATATGACAGATGGCAGTGGCAGTGGAATGTGGCTTAGTGGCTTAGCAGTAGAGCGTTTGCATAGCATGCATGAAGCCCTCGGTTGGATTCCTCAGTACCACATAAACAAAAAATGCTGGAAGTGGTGCTGTGGCTCAAGTGGTAGAGTACTGGCTTCGAGGAAAAAGAAGCTCAAGGACAGTGTTCAGGTCCTGAGTTCAAGCCCTAGGAATGGCAAAAAAACAAAATTGTACTCATTACCGGACTTATATAACTGCAACTCCTTTGTACATTACCTCTATAATAACAATAAAAAATAAAAATAGGGTTGGAAAGGTGGCTCAGTGGTAGAGTGCTTGCCTTGCATGCATGAGGCCCTGGGTTTAGTTCCTCAGCACCACATCAGTGGAAAAAGTCAGAAGTGGCACTGTGGTTCAAGTGGTAGAGTACTAGCCTTGAGCTGAACTGCTGAGGGACAGCGCCTAGGCCCAGAGTCCAGGCCCCACAACTGACCAAAAAAAAAAAAGTGTGATTGAAAAAAAAAACTTGACTGGTGACTGGAATGCTATCCAATAGCCCAACATTGATCATTCTATTTTGCAAGTGCCAAGTTCTTTTGTACAAATCAAATCACCATGTGTGCATAAATCTATTCAGAACTCTTTGGTTTCACTTTATTTGTCCTCTTTCATGGCAATAATATTGTTTTGTTATATGTATTATAATAAATCTTGACATTTGGCATTGTTACAAAAGATTAAAAAAAAGAAATCAAGGTGTTGCTGGTAACAGCACCAGTAAAAAATAACGGTCAGCTATCAGAAGAACAATCAGTACTGCCTAATGGAGGTACTGAATATGGAGGAAAGAGGGAATATCCAGAGGCTGTGATTCATAAGATAACCCACAGTTTACAGAAATGAAGCCTAGAGCTGCTTTTAGGGAACTATAATCTCAATTTGAGGCATATAAATGCTTAAATCTGTACTTTATAGTTGAATGAAATCCAAGGAGAGATGAGCTTGAATAAATACTGAAGGACTGATCTTGATAGATGAAACTTTGGCAAAGAACCTGATGTCTAAAGAAGAATGTAATATAGGCAGAGCAAAGGCAAAACAATAGTCTCGAGGTGTATTCATGTTTAGAATGCTGCGATAATAGATATAGAGTTCAGTAATTTTCTTTTTTTTTTTTTTTGGGTCTGGTCGTGGGGCCTGAACTCTTGGCCTGGGCGCTGTCCCTCAGCTCTTCAGCTCAAGGCTAGCACTCTACCACTTGAACCACAGCACCACTTCCAGCTTTTTTTCTTTTTGCTTATGTGGTGCTGAGGAATTGAACCCAGGGCCTCATGCATGCAAGGCAAGCGCTCTACCCACCTTCCCAGCCTAGTAATTGTCTTTAAAATTGAGCAGGTAGGATTGGTTGGGGGGGTGGGGGGGAAGGGATGGGAAGGGGAAACAAAGGAGGAGGCTACAATGCTTGATAAGAAATGTACTCATTATCTTGCCCATGTAATTGTAGCCCCTCTGTACAGTATTTTCACAATAAAAATTAATTAATTAATTAATTAATTTTAAAAAAGTCTCACGGGCTTTCCTGCCCAAGCTGGCTTTGAACCATGATCCTCAGATCACAGCCTCCTGAGTAGCTAGGATTGCAGGTGTGAGCCACCGGTGCCCGGCTTCCCTGAGCTTCTTTTTCAAGGCTAGCACTCTACCACTTGAGCCATAGCACCATTTCCAGCCTTTTCTGTTTCTGTGGTACTAAGGAATCGAATCCAGGGCTTCATGCGTGGTAGGCAAGAACTCTAGCACTAAACCACATTCTCAGCCCAAATCCTTAGATTCTTTTTGTTGTTGTTGTTGTTGGTCTTGGGGCTTGAACTCTGGGCTTGGGTACTATTCCTCAGCTCTTCAGCTCAAGGCAAGCGCCCTACCGCTGGAGCCACAGCGCCACTTCCGGTTTTCTAGTGGTTTATTGGAGATAAGAGTCTCACGGACTTTCCTGCCCAGGCTGGCTTTGAACTGTGATCCTCAGATCTCAGCCTCCTGAGTAGCTAGGATTACAGGTGTGAGCCACCGGTGCCCGGCTCCTTAGATTCTTAGGCAGTATTATTCAATAGAATTGAAATGTAAGGGCCAGAGAGATGTGGCTCAAAAGTGGAGCAGGATCCTGAATTTAATCCTCAGTACCACTGAAAAAATAATGCAAACTACATATGAAATTTAAATTTTTCTAGTGGCCACATTGAACAAAGTAAAGAGAAAAGAGTGAAATTAATTTTAACAATATATTCTCTTCGGGCTGGGAAGGTGGGTCAGTGGTAGAGAGCTTGCCTTGCATGCATGAGGCCCTGGGTTCGATTCCTCAGCACCACATAAGCAAAAAAAAAAAGCCAGAAGTGGTGCTGTGGCTCAAGTGGTAGAGCGCTAGCCTTGAGCTGAAGAGCTGAGGGAAAGCACCCAGGCCCAGAGTTCAGGCCCCAGGACCGGCAAAAACAAAACAAATACATTCTCTTCAACTTGATGCGTGCAAAATGTTATCTAAATATGTAATTTAAAAGTTAATTTGCTTTTTTCATTTCAAAGGTTTGTTGATTTTTTGTTGTTTTCTGGTGTGTGTGTGTGTGTGTGTGTGTGTGTGTGTGTGTTTTGTATGTGTAATTTTTGTTGTTGTTGATTTTGGTAGTGCTAGAGATAAAACCCAGGACCTTAATCATACTATGTGCTGTACCCTCTTATATATAGTCTGTGCTTGCAGGACATAGCAGTTCAGACTATCACGTATCACATGCTCAGTAGCTACAAGGTCTAGTTTCTAACTACTAGGGAAGTGAGTTATAAGGTTTTTCTTTCTCTTATTTTTAAATTTTATTATCTTTACATAGTTAAACACAGAGTTTCAATCCAACATGTCAGTTTGAGTATAATGCATCTTGATCAATGTCATCTTTTTCATCACTCTTCCTCATCTCTCCCAGTATCATACATCCCCTCAATTTATCTGGTGCCATGTTCACATATGTACATTGAATATTATTACTTCATTGTTGAAGGGAAACACGCTATTGGAATTCTCCCCTGCAGCTGCCATACTTTAGTTAGCGTGTGTATATGCATATGATCTTTTATATGTTTACATATATATTTATAATTTAGATTAACTTCCACATATGAGAGTAAACACACATCCTTTATCTGAATCTTATTTCACTTAACATAATTTTTCTAGGCCTGTTCATGTCCCTGCAAATGACATAATTTCAATCTTCCTGATGGATGAGTAAAATGCCATTGTGTGTGTATATGTGTATATATCTGTATATATGTATACACACATTTTCTTGTTCTGTTTGTCTATTGAAGGGCATCTAGGCTGTTTCCATAACCTGGCTATAGTGAATAGTGCAGTTTCAAAGACTGTTAATAGGATGACTTCTGCCTATAGACCTTTTCTCCAAATTTGATCCATTATAAATTCCATCAGCATTCATTTCTTAAAGAGAAAAACACAGATAAATCTAATTAGAACAAATAAAAGGTCTTCAAATTTCAGTTTATGTGAAGTATAAGAATGAAACTAATTCAGAAACATGAGTAACATATTAGTTTAATATCAGTTCTGTTTGAGATGCTTCATGTTTTTGTCTAAAGCATTAGTTGTGTTTAAACCACTGTGTGATCTGATTATTTCCCTGCCCTTAACAGTGTAAAAAATAGCCTCCCCAAAAGTAAAGTAAAAGTTTGATAATCCTTCCCAAGCTCCCAAAGCCATATAAATGTGCTTAGTTTAGGCAAAAGTTTTACATTTATTGAAAGATAGTATTACAGGAGAAATGAATCCAACATCTGCAATATGAGAAATAAGGAGCATGTAATATCTAACTTTTTTATTGTTGTTGGTTGTGGGGCTTGAACTTGGGGCCTGGGTACTGTTCCTGAGCTCTTTTGCTAAAGGCTAGCTCTCTACCACTTTGAGACACTGAGCCACTTTCAGTTTTTGACAGTTAATTGGAGATAAGAGTCTCAGGGGGACTTTTCTGCCCTGGGCTGGCTTCAAACTACAGTCCTCAGATCTCAACCTCCTGAGTAGCTCGGATTACAGGCATGAGCCATCAGTGCCCAGCAAGATCTTTTGATGAGCAGTTTTAGTGAATAGAATGTAGCCTACTCTATGAGATTTCCAGTTATGAATAGTCAGACCTACTGCATTATGGTACGGTAAATTTGATTAATTTTAGAGTACTGAAACTCTATCGTGAATATTGATAATTTTTCTTAGCACTCTCCTTAGAGCCATATATGCATGGATATCAAGGGTCTACTTTGTGTGTACTTTTTATATAGTTTAACTAGTTTTCAAATTAGAATTTTTCTCAGGTATTTTGGAGCTTTTGAGTAGTGTGATATTTATCTAACTTGATTTAAATCATAATTCTTATGTTTTAAACAGAGATAAAGTCAGCTGTGTTTGATGACTGCAAGAAAGAAGGAGAATGGAAGGTAAAATTTGAATATTTTCCCTTATATTGAGGCCTTTATTAGAGAACTTGGACATGCCCTATTTGCTTTTAAATCCTAACTTCATCATTGAATAAGTATGGCTCCTTGGGCGGGTAATACAACCTTTGGCTGCCTCTGTTTTCTTATCTTTAAGATGGGGATGTTAGTGGTCTGGCATGTTGCTTAGCATGACCTAGATTAAATCTGCAGCACCAAAAATAATCAACCAATAAATGGCTCAACTTTTTCTTAACTCAAGGGCTTTGCAAATTCTGACAGCCAACCTTCCGTTCTTACTCACCTAGTTCTTTATACTATTCCCTGACTCCATTCCCAAGTGACTAGTCTAGTATTTTCTCTTATCTAGTACATAAAGTAGAATGCTATACTATAATTGCCTGTTACTACCTGTTAAGTGTTCTCAACACATAGCATAATGCTTAGGACTCATTAAAGAAAGACAACATTTCTGTATGGTGATGTACTTATTGACACAAGTGTAAATTGTTCGTTAACTCAAAAGTGCCCTTATTTTAACCAAACTCTCCCCAGTTAAAGAAAAATTATATATGAAACAAAATCAGGATGATAACTCATAGGGTAGCCAGAAAAAAATAAGTGAACAGTGCTTGAAACAATGTGTCAATTTATTATTTTAAGAAAATTTGATGTTGAACATTGTATTAAAATGAATGTATTAAAATGAAAACGTCCTTCAAAGTAAAATACACACACGTATTCTATATGTATATGTATAGTGAGAAAAATCTCTAGATCGTGAGCCAAAACATGAATTGAGGTCATTTCATATACTGTACTAATATTTTAATTTTATGTTATAAAAGATTGATAAGTTTGAATAAATTCAAGATCTGAAATTCTGTCTTTTGTGAATTCTTGGCAATTAGATGCTTATACTTATTTCTTAATTTATGTTTAAGATAATGCTTTTAGATGAATTTACCACTAAGCTTTTGGCATCATGTTGCAAAATGACAGATCTTCTAGAAGAGGGAATAACTGGTAAGTGTTACTAATTCTCGTGAATACTTTAAAAATTGGAAGGCTGAAGAATTAAGAAATTTTGTCAGTAATCTTTTTTTAAAAAAAGGCTATGTTTTATTTTTTATGACATAAGCAAATTTGACATTTTCTTTATGAATCTTCAGAGTTAGTTTTTCTGCCAAATGAGACATTATTAAGTGTTATTAACTAAGACTAAGTCAGTTGCTTTATTTTATTTTATTTATTTTTTTTTTTTGGGTCGGCCGTGGGGCTTGAACTCTGAGCCTGGGCGCTGTCCCTCAGCTCTTCAGCTCAAGGTGAGCGCTCTACCACTTGAGCTATAGCGCCACTTCCAGTTTTCTGGTGGTTTATTGGAGATAGGAGTCTCACGGTCTCTCCTGCCCGGGCTGGCTTTGAACCGCCATCCTCAGATCTCAGCCTCCTGAGTAGCTAAGATTACAGGCGTGAGCCACCAGCACCCGGCTTATTCAGTTGCTTTATTGAAGGTTGTTTTTGTTTTTGTTTTTTTTTGCCAGTCATGAGGCTTAAGCTCAGGGCCTGAGCACTATCCCTGAGTTTGTTGTTTTTTTTTTTTTGGTTGGTCGTAGGACTTGGACTCTGGGCTCAGATGCTGTCCCTGTACTCTTCAGCTCAAGGGGAGCATTGTATCGCTTGAGCCACAGTGCCACTTTCAGTTTTCTAGTGGTTTATTGGAGATAAGAGTCTCACAGACTGTCCTGCCTGGGCTGGCTTTGAACCAAGATCCTCAGATCTCACCCTCCTGAGTAGTTAGGATTACAGGCGTGCGCCACCGGTGCCTGGCTCCCTGAGTTTCTTTTGCTCAAGACTAGCACTCTACCAGTGGAGCCACAGCGCCACTTCTGGCCTTTTCTGTTTATGTGGTACTGAGGAATTGAACCCACGCCTCATGCAGGCAAGGCAATCACTCTACCAGTAAACCACATCCTCAGCCTGGGTGGTGGTGGTGGTGGTGGTGGTGGTGGTTTTTTAATGTTTAACAGTTTTGTTATTGATACACTCAGTTAACTTTGCTTGTGGTTTTCTTTTTTCTTTTTTGGTTTTAGGAATCAAACCTAGGACTTAATGAGTACATACAAAAAATTCTACCACTGGGCTATACTCCCAGGACTTAGGGTTTTTTTTGCTTCTAAATTGATGGTCTAAAATCAATATTGATACATACTTGACAATATATGATGCTGGTTTTGTAAATTTATTTTTTATTTTTATTTTTATTACCTGGAAATGAGATAATTACAATTTTAAATCAGTTCTAGGAAGAAAACTGAAAATACAGATTTGGGAAAATAATCATTATACCATGAGTAGTCCAGGTTTATGTTAGTGAAATATTAATCCATATTACCTTCTAGGGAAAATATCAATGTCTTGCAACATTTATAATGATGTTATCTTTAACTCATTCTTTAACTTATTTAAATTTGATCTTTTTAACAGCCCTGTAAAGACAGATAAGTACACCCATTTCCCCATTTGCAATAGGAAAACACTTGAAGTCAGATATAATTTTTTATATGTTGGATCCTAATATATTTTATTTTCTGGGAGTTTGAACTTTGAGCCTTACACTTGCTATCTATGTGCTTATTATTTAAGCCATGTTTCCAACCCTTTTTGCTTTTATCATTTTCAAATAGGGTTTTACTTTTTGTCCCCACTGGCCTGAACTTTGGTGCTTTCCTGAGTCATTAGGAAAATAGCTGCCAGTAACAAAGCCAACTTTATATTGATTGAGATGTTGTTTCACAATCATTTTGCCTGAGCTGGCCTCAATTCATGATCCTTCCAGTGCCAGGTTTCTGAATGGTTAGGATTACAGGCATGAGCCACCACATCTGGTTAGTCACTCCTAATTTCTTTGGCTCAGAAGTAAACCTAAGATTCTTTAGAGAGTATTCTCTGACTTTATATTTGTTTTGATATTTATGCATAAAATAATCTCTTGCCAATTGCATATTAAATATGTGCTTTCTATGACCTTTCATAGAAAAACAGAACTGATTTGAAAACAAATGGAGGAAAGCTTACTGAGCATATCACTACAGATGAAATTTAGGAGAGGAAGTATAGCATGATTAATAGTCTGGGTTCTGCAGCTCCAGAGTCCTTGTTTTGAAACATAGCTTATCCACATACCAGTTGAGGCTACCTCCCTGAGCCCTGCATCCCCTCAATAACTATGCCTATCTCATAGGATTATTATAAAAATAGAATGAAGTAACGTGTTAAGTAGTTAGGTGGATGACTTATATATTACTAATAACAAACATTTGCTGATAGATGTGTCAGCCTTAAAGAGTTTCCTTAAAGGTATTGACTCTGGAAATGTTTAATTCATGTTTTCCTTCCTGATCCTTATACATATTAAGAAATATTATAAGGTCTTTCAAATTTTCATCTCTCTATATGAAATATATGTTTGCGTATATAAACCAAATGTATAAGTATGCAGGTGTAAATATCTTTGTCGCTACATGTATAGTTGCAGAAAATTAAAAGCAAGGCAGTGAGGCTTTGGTGGCTCCCACTGATAATCCTAGCTACTCAAGAGGCTGAGATCTGAGGATTTAAATTCAAAGGTTGGCCCAGACAGACAAATCTGAGAGACTCTTCAGTTTTCAAGCACAAAGTATGGCTCAGGCAAAGTGCCGGTTATGAGCAGAAAAACTGAGCAAGTACAAGTTTGAGTTCAAGCCCCAGTGCTAGGACCAAAAAAGAAAAAAAAGCAAACAGCAAGTTCTTTTAAGTTTTTGTTTGTTTGGTTTTTTTTTTTTGTTTTGGTCAGTCGTGGAGCCTGAACTCTTGACCTGAGCGCTGTCCCTCAGCTCTTTAGCTCAAGGCTAGCACTTCTACCACTTGAGCCATAGCACCACTTCCGGTTTTTCTGCTTATGTGGTGCTGACAAATGGAACCCAGGGTCTCATGCATGCGAAGCAAGCACTCTACCACTGAGCCACCTTTCCAGCCCAAGTTTTTTTTGTTTTTTAATGATATAAAGATTATCTGGCAAAAAGAAAAAAAAAACTCTAAAACTTGAAATTAGAAGATTAAAGCCCTGACTTTTCTGTTAAATAAGTGAAATATTGATTGATATTAGTTTGTTGTGAGTTTTTAAAAAAAATTACATTGCCATAGGTCATTCTGATATGAAACAAGAGTGAATACCATTTGACAAATGTATGAACACACTATGAAGTGACAGAGCTATAATTATGAACTAGGAGTTTTTGTTTGTCCCTTAGAGAACGTTATTTCTTACTGTGTTTGCAATGTTAATACCATATTCTTCAAGGAAAGGATTCTGTGGCCAATAAGCTTGGAAAATAGTATCAAGGACAAACAACAAGTGTTATTGGTACCTTTTAAAGGGTTTAATATAACAATGTACATGTAGATTCCCCAAGGTAGCAATGCAGTATTCATTTAAAAAATTTGTTTGGCCACAGAAAGACCTTTTTTTTTTGAGAAACGTTTTCTTGGATAGAACGCACAGCTATGGAATGTTCTTGATATTTTCCAGAGTCATCTAGGTTTGTTCTGGCTTAGTCATTATTATTTTCCATAGTTGTTATCCTCCAAGTTTCACTGAAAATCCATCTGTTAGACTTGGCATGGGCAGGTTCTGTGGTCAGATTTTCTGTTGTATGCCAGTCATTTATAAAAATGATCAGTATGTATCTTTTAAAAAATACATGAGGGGAAAAGTGTTACTTTAGTATTTGCTATTGCAGTGCAGGTTTGGTTAAGTTAAAATCTTTTAAAAACAGATTAGAAATTAGACTATTCATTTTTCATTATCAAAGACTTTAAAAATCGTTTAACACATAGGTACTTTTCAGTGAGTTTGAGAAATGGCATTTTCTGCTATCAATAAGCAGATTTAATTTTCGCAGTTATATAGCATGTACATTATTCCCTAAACATACTAGTATATGTAGCATAAGTGTTAGACATTTCATTTGGAGTACTAACTAGTGGAAGTAAATTAACGTATACAAAACCTTAATTATTATTTTCATTTTTTACTTTTTGGAGGGACATGAGGATTGAACCCAGGACCTTGTGTATGCAAAGAATATCTTGTGTCATTGAACTGCTTCCCTATGCCTGTGAATCTTAGTCCTTTTCAGATAAAATTATAATTAAAGGAATCATAAAATCCTCATTTTAAAAAAAATTAAATTTTTCCTTGAAAAAAATTTATTTGGTCAGTCATGGGGCTTGGACTCAGGGCCTGGATGCTGTCCCAGAGCTTTTTCACTCAAGGCTAGTACTCTACCATTTTGAGCCACAGCTGTACTTCTGGTTTTTGGGTGGTTAATTGGAGATAAGAGTCTCATGGACTTTTCCTGTGTAGACTGACCAGTGAACCTCAAAATCTTAGCCTCCTGATTAGCTAGAATTACAGGCATGAGCCACCAGCACCCAGCTTTCCTTGAAATTTTTATTTAATATCTAATACTAGCCATGATGAAATTACCATATTTAAAAGAAAAATTGAGCAGTGGCTTACTTTGCATGTCATAATGCTGGTTAATGTGATTAATGATTTTTTTCTGGGTCTTTAGCTAACACAAATGTTGAAAGATGGTTTTCTTTATTTGTAGAAGGATACTTTAAGTTAAAATAGAGCTGGGAGTCAGTGGCTCATACCTATAATCCTAGATATTTAGGAGGCTAAGATCTGAAGATTGAAGTTCAAAGCCAGCCCAGGCAGGAAAGTCTACCCAAAAGCTGGAAATGGAGCTGTAGCTCTAAGTTGTAAAGCATTAGACTTGATAACAAAAGCTCAGGGACAGAGCCCAGGCCCAGAGTTCAAACCCCAGGACTGGCAGAAAAGATAGATTAGATAGACAGATTAGATAGATGGACTTTAATGTGGGAAGTATGACTTAGCTATAAAGCACCTATCAGGCAATTGTAAGACCCTGACTTCAAAGCCCAGTACCACCAAAAATATACACATATATGTGTATGTTTAAGCACACATACATATACATGTACAAGGTGATAATCTCCCCAACACTCCCTATTAGATAATCTCCCCAACACTTGAGTGCTCATATGTAATCCTGTCTACTTGGACGGCTGAGATTGGAAAGGCTGAGGTTCAAGGCCAACCAAGGCAAAAAAGATTCATGAGATCCCCTTCTTAATGGAGAACAGGACACTGTGATATGTGCCTGTTATCCTAACCACAAAAGGAAGCCTAACATAGGGATATTGAGCCAGCACTATATGGAAAATGGACAGCTTGTGGGTAGAGATAAGTGGGGAAAATTGGGAGAGAGCAAAGAAAAGAATGACATTGTCTAAAAAGAAATGTACTCATTACCTGACTTATGTAACTAACCACTCTATACATCACCTTTATACTAATTTTTTAAAAAAGATAAAGGATACAATTTAAATTTTTTTAAAAGAACTTTTAAAAAACAAACCCATAGAATTAGAAGCATGGCTGAGTGGTAAAAGTGCCTGCCTATTGAGCTCAAGGCCCTGAGCTATATTCCAATGCCTACAAATAAATAAGTAGATAAACAATACCTTTCAATAGTTATTTGTGTTCACTTTATATTAGATATTTTCTTAATTTTAGTAAATTGACTAATTTCTAGTGATATTATTGAAAAATATAAATACTTATGTGTGCTTTTAAAATGATAAATGTTTTGTGTAACTGTAACCCCTCTGTACAGCATCTTTACAATAAAACAAAATTAAAATAAAATGACATGTTAATTGGCAACTTAAAGAATATTGTGGTAGTTAAAAACATAGGCTCTTAGATATGAGTTGGAAGCATGCCTGTTCTACTTTTTCTCTGCTTAGACAAGTTATTCGACTACTTTAAGACTCAGTCTCCTCATCTTAAAAACTCATCTCATTGTTATGAGGGTTAATAGTTTATGTAAAATTCTTAGCCTGACATAATTGGTGTCATATTAGCTAATATTATAGAATACTTTTGAAAGAAATACCTATTTTTTATTTTTATGCATTTTCTCTCTGTCTCTCTCTCTTTTTCTCTTTCTCTCGCTCTTTCTCTCTCGCTCTTTCTCTTTCTCTTTCTGTTTCTCTTTGTTGTGGAGATTGAACTCAGGGCTTGGGAACTGACCTGAGCCTCTTTGTGCTCATGGCTAGCACTCTACCCCTTGAGCCACAGCATCATTTCTGGGTTTTTTGAGTGATTAGTTGGAGATAAGAGTCTTGTTGGTACTTTTCTGCCCAGGCTGGCTCTGAACTATGATCTTCATATCTCAGCTCCTGAGTAGCTAGGATTACAGGCATGAGCCATCATTGCCCAGCTCTCAGTTTGTTTCTGTCATATTGATTGCTTATGCTGTTAGGCTGGTAGACCTACCCGTGATACAACTTTTTTTTCCTCATAATAAAACAAGCATATGGTTTACCCTCAGAAAAGACACATTTTCAGGATTTGTTAATTTATCAAATGAGAACAAAATGTAAACCTAGCATATAATGTGTTTTTTTTTATTAGAGTCTGGTAAAATTTATTTAAAGTTGGTCTCAAGGCTGGTGCTGGTCCCTCATGCCTGTAATGTTAGCTACTCAGGAGGTTGAGGTCTGAGAACCTAGGTCCAAAACTGCCCAGACAGACAATACCAAGAGGCTCCTATCAGTAACTCCCAAAAGCCAGAAGTGTGGCTCGAATGTAGATGCCAGCCTTGAGTGAAAAACCTCGAGACAGCATCTAGCCCCAGTACTGTCATACACACAAAAAGGTTTCAAGTATGTACATTTGATTTTATAAAATGTCTTTTTCTGTTGGTAGTTGTGGAGAATATTTATAAGAATCGAGAACCTGTCAGACAGATGAAAGCTCTTTATTTTATCTCTCCAACGCCAAAAGTGAGTATTTTGAGTCCTTAAAAAGTTAGTTCTTGGGCTTGGGTGTAATTCATTGATAGTGTGTGTGTGTGCATAGCATGTTTAAGCGATGGGACTCAATCTTTAGAACAATTTTTGTGTGTATGTGCAGGTCCTGGGGCTCAAATGCAGAGCCTGGTCACTGTTTCTGAGCTTTTTCACTCAAGGTTAGTACTCTACCACTTGAGCCATAGTTCCACTAAAGTTTTTTGATGGTTAATTGGAGATAAGAGTCTCATGGGCTTTCCTGCTCAGGCTAGCTTTGGTCTCAGCCTCCTGAGTAGCTAGGATTATAAGAATGAGCCACCAGCGCCTGGCCAGAACACATTTTTTAAAAAGCAGATTCTTCATTCTTTGTCACCATTTGCTAATAAACTGGTTCATGTAATTGTAATCCATCTGTACATTACTTTTCTAATAATAATAAAAATGCATGAAAGAAAACAAAAACAAGCAAAAAATCATAGTAATGAAATACTCTTTATTAGAAAAATATTCCTATAAACTGAATTATTTAAGAAAGATTGTATGTTAAATTATTGGGCTTTTTTTGGCAGTTATTTTTTATTTTTTTGCGATACTGTGGTTTGAACTCAGGATCTTGCACTTGGTAGGTAGGTGCTCTACCATGTCAGCTATGTCTCAGCCCAGACTATTGTTTTATTTGTACTCTTTCAAGTGACAGTGTGCAAGTGAAAACAAGTTAGTTATATAAAATGATAGTTTCTTTGCAAATTTTGTTCATGTTGCTCTTATTGAACCATAATTTTGGGGAAGATGGAAATATAGATAAAATAGTCTTTGATCAATCCTTTATCTTAGTGATTTCCTTATTGCATACATGCATGTAAATGTGTATGTCTGTGTGTGTGTATAGAATTATGTCACTTTGTGTGAGGATTTTTAAGTTTGTAATATGATTAAATGACTTAACTCACATTAAGTCAAATTTAGAGCCAAAAAAGTATCATGTTCCTTTAATCTGTATAATATCTGAGAACGTATTTTCTAACACCACCTTTTATTCATTCCTTCCTAGAATGTTAATTAGTAGCCCTAGTTTCATTTCACCTTTAATTTTAGCAAATGGTTGGAAAAAGGCAGATATTCTCTTATTGGCTGCTGATGCAGAGAGGTTTTAATGACATAACATGATATTCTATTACAGAAAATTAATGATTGGGAAAAAATGCAAGTTAAAAGCACTATGCCTCACCTAACAGTTTGGCAGACAGATTTTATATCTGTGTGTATATGTGTATATATTTATACACAGATAAATACATATATAAGTATACATACATATATACACACATATGTCACATTCTAGTTGTTTTAGCTATCAGTTTAGCAGAAATTACTATATATTGCTGGTGGGGATATAGATTAATACAGGCTTTTTGGAAAATAATTTGGTGTCCTTTCTCAAGAATCTTAAAAATGTTCCATGCTTTTTAGCTCGTCATAGGAACTAATCAAATGACTTTTCAAATTAAGTTCCTAGGAATAAACAAATCCAGTAAGGTCTTAGAAAAATAATAGTGCAAAAGATATGACCATTAAAAAAAGGTTTATAGATATTTTTATGACCTAGGAATTCACTTTTAATGTCAAATAACAAAAGCAGAATATAAAGATTTCAGGGATGGAGCCCAGATTCAGAGAAGATGGCACCTAACTGTGACTCCTTTCATATCTACAACCAATTTCAGTTTCTTTTACTGTTTTAAATCAGTTGACTGCAGAGTGCTACAAGCCTCTGTGTGTAAGTGAAGCCTCAGGGTCCTTGAGGACTCTGGAAAAGAAATGTAGTGTGAGACTTGCATCCTCATGTGCTGGGAGTTCCCACACACGGCTCATAAAGCAGCAGATCTCAGCAGGAGTTTGCTAAAAGAGATCTGTGATCTCCAGTGAAAAAGCCCATCTGATGTCTTAGTGGTTTGTCTACTGTGCTTTGGTGGTTTTGCCCTCAGAGAAACCACTAGCTTCCTTCTTTTGTGGAACTAGCTATATTTGAGTTATTCCAATAGAAAAACCTAAGTCTGCATTGAGTGGATAAAGAAAAGCAACCATGGGGCTAGGAAGGTGGCTCAGTAGTAGAGTGCTTACCTTGCATGCCAGAGGCCCTGGGTTCGATTCCTCAGCACCACATAAGCAAAAAGAAAAAAGCCGGAAGTGGCGCTGCGGCTCAAGTGGTAGAGTGCTAGCCTTGAGCTGAAGAGCAGAGGGACAGCGCCCAGGCCCAGAGTTCAGGCCCCATGA